GGCTGGCTGGGTGGGTGGCTGGCTGGGTGGGTGGGTGGCTGGCTGGGTGGGTGGCCCCTGACACCCTGCTCTCCCTGTTTTCCCAATGCTCTCCCCTCCTTCTTTGTCCCTCTCTGTATCCTCTCTGCCTGACAACCCACCTACACTTGCTCCTGCCTTGCTATTGGCTGTTCAGCTCTTTTTTAGGACCATCAGGTGTTTTAGCCAGACAAATAACCGAAGCTTCACAGAGTTAACCAAATGCAGCATAAACAAAAATCACACACCTGAAAATACACAAACATCCATGACCCATCTGAGAACCAAAAGCCTCCCACAATCCAATTCTTGCCAAAGTGGATGTCATTTTTTCTAGACTACTTCCTATTGACTTTGGGTGAAGGCATTTGGGGGGGGGAGGTCCCTGATAAAACAGATTATGACCAAGTCCTGGGAAGACCAGCTATATAACCTTTGTTGATAGATATCTCCTGTCAAGATTCAGGAGGTCTATAGCCGGGTGTCAGTGGTGTCTTTAATCCCAGCACTTGGGAGGCAGAGGCAGGTGGATTTCCGAGTTCCAGGCCAGCCTGGTCTATAGAGGTAGTTCCAGGACAGACTCCAAAGCTACACAGAGAAACCCTGTCTCAACCCCCCCCCAAAAAAAAGATTCACGAGGTCTCACTTGATCAAACCTGATCCATATTATTCCTGAAGGAATCTACAGTCTCTTGTCTCCTGTGGGAGCAAAATTCCAAAGCCTTTTTTATTTCCATTTGACAAATATATGTTTTGATTTCTTTTTTTAAAGTTAAGATAGCCCTAGAGCATCTAAATCAGTTCAATTTCACAGTCCTGTTCACAATCCCACATCTCCCTGAATCTGCCTTTTGCCCATTAGCATTCCAGTACTTCAAAACCAACATAACAGGATTCAGATTCCCTGTGTGTTTCCACCTCTACCGGGGGTAGTGGGGCGCAGCTGGTGGATGGACGGTAGGTAGACTCCTGGGCGCAGCTGATGGATGGACGGTAGACTCCTGGAAAGCCGCTTCAGCACTTTGCTACCACCTCAGGGGCCCAGCAGAATGTGGGGCAGATATTGAGCCTCTTCCTTCAAGCAGTGGAGCAGTTCCTGCCTCTGAGGTACAACAACATTCTGCTGAATCGGAACCAGCATCTCCTCTGGGCTCAGGAGGGTCTTGCTGACCGAGTTTTCCTTGATGAGAAGCTGCTGTTGCTTGTCCTGCACCTCCGGAAGCAGAAGTTGCCAGTGGCCAACCTCATTCAGCAGTCCCTGGCTCTGGGCATGAAAAGGCTTGAGCTCTACCCACAAGCCACTGCACCAGCAGCAGTACTTTCTTCACGCTGGATCCCGTAGCGCATCTCTCCACCTCCTCCACTAGGCTCTGGAGGCGGCCAATCAGGACTTATCGCACTCTCAAGAGTGCAGTCCTCTGGGTAAATTGCCAGCCATCCCGGATGAGATGAGCAGTTGATGGCAGGACCTGGCTGGAGTGCAATGGGTCTGGGTCCTGGATATATCTTGTTTGAGCCCATCCCCACTACACAAGGACCAGATCTCCATCTCCCGCTCTGCAGCCAAGTACTTCCAAGGCAGCCAGGGTGTGGCCTGCGGGGTGGTTCGTCAGCAGTGTCTCAACTGAGCTCAGCCATTGTTGATAGGAACGTCCTAAGTGGTTATCAAGAGGGCTTAGGATGCTGCCTCCCCTGGCCTGGGGAATGAGAAGGTTCTTCAGAAACTTGAGTTCAGGAACACCTCAGGCTCTAGAGCTGGTGCTGCTGACACCGAGGTCCAAAGGTCATGGCTGAAGGCACCTAAACGGATTCTGCAAGGAACCTTGCAGCCCAGGTTGCTGTCTTCGCACAGCCCGGCCCTGGGCCTGAAGAAGAGTCCGACGATGAGTTTCTTTCAAGCTCTCAGGGACTGTGCTATGGCAATGTCCTGAGCCCCAGTCTCTCGTCTAGCCCCTGGGTCTCTGCACGCAGGCGGGCCACAGTGGCTTCTTCTCCATCTTCGAATGGACCTTCGGATTGTTATGATGGCCACACCAGAGGACGTTTCCCTGAATGGTCTTGATACTCTTTGAATATGCACATGTTGCACAATGTAGGCCCGGATGTCAGCCCCACCCCCTGACCCACACACAGCCTGCACAGTGTCGACTCCCCGGGGCGGGCCGCGTGAGGCCCTGCAGCCCTGCAACTAAGTTCCCGAGCATTCTGCGTTAGTTCCATGGCTGTCAGAGAGCTCAGCGGCATTCTCAGCTTCCGGCACTCTTCAAGCATGGCGCCCACCTCTGACGTCACGAGTGCGACCCTGAGACGTCACTAGTTGCCAGGCTGACTGTCGGTCTCTGGTTTGGGATGGATTAAAAACAAACAAACAAAAAAAATTTTTTTGTTGTAGAAAATTATCAGGATAGGCACACCAATCTTTAAAAATCAAGGAACAGTAAGATGGCTTATTTTGGTAAGGCGCTTGCCGGGAAGTCTGATGACCTGAATTTGATCCCCTAGAAAGAGAACTGGCCTGGCCTCGAATTCAGAGATCTACCCGCCTCTGCCTTCCAAGTGCTGGTATTAAAAGTGTGCAACACCACAGCCCAGAGCGAGTTTGAGGACAGCTAGGGCTAAACAGAGAACCCCTGACTTGGGGAAATCCCACCAAATTTAAGTTGCTGTATTAGTCCATATGTGCACAATGGCATGTGTCCCTCCACAATAAACAAGAGAAAAACACCTCAATGTTGTCTACTAAGCTTGCCTGAGTAATTCAGTCCTGGATTTAAAAGTGTGTGTGTGTATGAGTGCTTTGCTCACATGTAGGTCTATGCATATGTGTGCTTTGAGCCCACGGAGGTCAGAAAGGGTGTGGGATCCTGGAACTGCTGCAATGGGTGGTTGTGAGGCACAATGTGGGTGCTGAGAACTGAACCCAGCAAGAAAAGCAAATGCTCTTCCCCACTGAGCCACCTCCCCAGGCCTCATTGCCTCACTGAAAATTCTAGTGTTGATATCCCTGCTTCTCCCTCTCCCTGGGTCCTGGGCAACCTGGCCCTGTTCCTGCTCCCAACTCCTCTCCTTCTTCTGCCCCGTGGTTTCTCCTCAGCACCCACCTGTCACTCCTTTCCAGGATCTGGGCCCGCGCCTTCTCTTTAGGGAACGTTCCTGGTCTCCGGGACTCTCTAATCCTCGGGTTCTCTCCCCACCCTGGGATCTCTCTTCCCGGGGTGACCTTCCCTGGCCCTGGGATCCATCTTTGACAGGTGATCGCTCCTCACTGACAGCTGTCAAAGGTTGCACGGCTTAGTCCTGCAATCCTTAGGTGGCTGTCTAAGGGCTCTACATGCAGAAACCATGTGGAATTGGGTCCGCATGGAGCTGGGCCAAGGGCAGCTCCATGACTCCAGTTTCAACAGACCCCACTGCTGAGACTCGTTCCAAACCGCTCCCATTCCTATATAAGCACCTCCTGCCTGATTTCTTCCCATTTCTGCTCCCATCACTTTGCTCCCTTTCCCAATAAGCTCCATGTGGGTTTGTTGAGTTTGATGGATCGTGTTTCACTGCCCAAAACTGCACCAAAGAACATCTACTCCTGGATACCAGGGGTCACAATACCACAGGAGGGGAGAGAGCAATACCATTGGGAGTATACTAGAAATATGCTAGGGAATACTAGGAAATATGCTAGGGAATATACGCAGGAGAGCCCACTTCCCTTCTATATTGCCCAGGTCCTCAGTCTTCAAACAGGATGTTGCTGATGGAAATTCTTGCCAATAGAACACTTTCACTTGGAACATTCCATGGAATCTGAGCTCTAGAGAGTGACTGGCTCAGGCTGAGCTTAATGGAAGCCACTAAGCATATGGTTAGCCATTCTTTAAACGCTCAAACAAGAAGGTCTGTTTCTTTTTAGCTTCTGCTCAACTTTTATTCCTTGTACAACATGCATCTCCAAAAGATGACAACATAAACAATATCAAATAAATAGACCCATGATCCCTTTTCAACTTCAAACTATACACATTTTATCAAATTGGTTCCAGAGATTCTCTATATTCTTGCCAAGTATTTCATATCAGCCATTTTAACACAAATCTTTACTTGTAACAGAAGTATACAAAATAGTTTAAAAACTAACAACTGGGAAACTTTGTGCAGATTGACATGGTCAAATTTTATTTTCCAATATTGTTATAACTCAACCCGATGAGTCACGGGGTCAGCATTTCATTTAGTCTTTAGACTTAGTTTATCTGAAATTCAGAGCTCAGTGCTTCCTGAGGTAGGAAAGCAGCATGTGCATCAGGACAGGAGGGTACACCAGAGTGAGTTTACCACTGGGCTACGACTGAACCCTGAGCTGTTAAGCCTGTGTAAATGAGGGATGGAAAAGCTGGTCCACCTGCAGTGAGAGGGCACAGGGGTTCTGGGGGGAGATGAGGAGGGAGGACATGGCACAGGGAGCCAGTAGCATGAAGGGGAAGACACAGGGAGCTGGAAGTGCTTCTTGGTGGCCAGTGGCTACCTTCTGAACGCAGGCTGTTCTAAAACTAGAACAACCTCTGAGCTGAGGGCCAGCTTTACTATAGGGAAGCCATGTGTCAAGGTTCAGCCCAGAACAATCAAACACAGGGGTGTCTGAACTAAGCTTGCCATATCTGAACTAAACTCAGCTTTTCTGGGCCTAGTTCCTCCTCCTCAAGTGCTCTGGGAGGCCGCCTCTGCCAGGTAGCAGGCAGCCTTCTGAAACCAGTTTCAGGATGACGCCTGCACAGAGCCACGTAAGAAAGTACCTCTGCTGGGTGTGTCACAGCTTTTCATCCCCAGGGACCTCTTATCCTCACCTGTCAAACTAAAGACCCTACTCTTCTCTACTGGCGACACAGGAGCAACCCTGGGTATAATGGAGAGGGCTAGGCTGACAAGTGTGAACTCAAGCTCAGACTCTGAACTAATCAGGACTTACAAGACTCGTCACTGTGAGTAGCCTGGTGCCTACTGCGCTTAGAACTGCTAATGAATGCTTTCCCACACTGGCCGCACTTGTAAGGTTTCTCCCCGGTGTGAGTTCGCTGGTGGACGATGAGCCGAGCACTCAGGCTGAACGTTTTCCCGCACTGGTTACACTCGTAGGGCTTCTCTCCAGTGTGGGTCCTCTGGTGCTGAGTGAAGCAGGAGCTCTGCCTGAAGGTCTTGCCACACTGGCTGCACTCGTAGGGCTTCTCTCCAGTGTGGGTCCTCTGGTGAACCACCAGAACATAGCTCTGGCTGAAGGATTTCCCACACTGCTTGCACTGATACGGCTTCTCTCCAGTGTGTGTTCTCTGATGCATGACCAGATGTGAACTGCGGTTGAATGATTTCCCACACTCACTGCACTCATAAGGTTTCTCTCCTGTGTGTGTCCTTTGGTGCGAGACGAGCTGGGAACTCCAGCTGAATGATTTCCCACAGTAATTACACTCAAAAGGCTTTTCTCCAGTGTGAGTCCTCTGATGTGCGACCAGCTTATAGCTCTGACTAAAGGACTTCCCACAGTGATTGCATTCATAAGGCTTCTCTCCAGAATGAATTTTCTGATGCGCAATAAGCTTGTAGCTCTGGATGAAGGATTTCCCACACTGAGTGCACTCGTACGGCTTCTCTCCGGTGTGAGTCCTTTGATGCGCAATAAGTTTGTAGCTCTGCCTGAACGACTTCCCACACTGGCTGCACTCATAAGGCCGCTCACCAGTGTGAGTTCTTTGATGCACCACAAGAACATACCTCTGGGTAAAAGATTTCCCACACAGATTGCATCTGTATGGTTTCTCTCCAGTATGAATTCTCTGATGGGAAACAACATGAGAGCTCCGGGTGAAGAACTTCCCACACAGGTTGCACTTGTACGGCTTCTCCCCTGTATGAGTTCTTTGGTGTGCAATGAGATGTGAACTCCAACTGAAGGACTTGCCACAGTATTTACATTCAAAACGTTTCTCTTCAGGATAGTTTCTCATGTTCTGAGGAAGAGATGGACTTGGGGCACTTTTACTACATTTATACTGGCCCTCTTTAAAAGGAATTCTCTGTTGTTCATTGAGGGATATGTTATGGTTCAAAACTTGTCCACGCCCTTTAAAGCCAAAGGTTTTACCTTCTATACGAACTTTTTCATGGAGATTTAGGGGTGTGCCATGGCCAAATGATGAAACGCGGCCATTAAATTCATAAGACTGACCTCCTTTTGGGGCTCCTGTAAACTGAGTGAGATGAACACTCTGAAGGGCGTTTCCGTAGTTGTCATCTTTAGAGAGCTCTGCATTATCACCACCCTTCTGATGACTGTCTGCATCAGCGTCATCATGCAACTTTTTAACACGTGGTGCCTGTTTATGAAAATGGTTTCTGAGAGGAATCATGGGGAAAGAACACCGGCTGGAACTCAGGCAACTCCTATCAAGTTCAGCGCTCCTGTAGACCGTCTCAGGGGTACCAGCTCTTGCTTGGGGAAAGGCCTCTTCCTCCTGCTTTTCTGGTTGTTTCTCCAACTGCTCCTTAGACGCACGGCCTTCTTCACAGGAGGAGACCGAAGGATCCTCCCTTGCCAATCTCTCTATCTTCACTTCATGGGATGCTTCTTCATCAAAGACAGTCTGCTTTGAGGTTTCTTCTATTCCATGCACAGCTGGCAAGTCTGAAAGACAGTATAACATGACATCTGTGTTGGTCACTTTTAACACCACTGTGACCATATGCCCAACAGTAACAAGCCTACAGGAGGAAGACTGACTTTGGCACATGGTTCAGAAGTTTCAGTCCATAATCACTTAGCCTCAGACTCAGGGGTTTGTGCAGAATGTCATGTCAACAGGAGTGTGTGGAGAGGGTACAACTCAGAGCTAGAAATCAGGGAATGATGGAGACCAGAGAGCAAGTATAATCTGCAAAGACACACAAAGGAAACGACCCCTTTCATCAAGGCAGACCCCACATTCTGGTTTCTAGAACCTTCCAATAGTGTCACCTGCTGGAGAGCAAGCATTCAACACGTGAGGCTGTGGGGTACACTTCGTACCTGAACCACAACAACACCCTATACACTCCTGCCCCTAAAAACTGAGCTACAACAGTGGGGGAAAACTTACAAGAAATGACACAAAATGCCCTGACTTGTACACCTATGACATGGGCTGAGAAGGGAACACGAAGATGGCTACGAGCTGAGAGGCGTCACAGCTTTGGTCAGGCAGTGGTGGCACAAGCCTTTAATCCAAGCACTCATGAGCAGAGGCGGGTGGATCACTGAGTTCAAGGACATCCTGGTCTACAGAGCAAGTCCCGGGACAGCCAGGGCTACACACAGAGAAACCCTGTCTGGAAACAACAAGAAAAAACTTTCAATTCTTGTTAGTCCTAGACACAGGTTCACTGAAATGCTACATTTGTAGAAATGTCTGGAGGCATGAAGCTAACTAGCAGAGTGTATATCAACAAGCCATCTGTGAACCCAGAATACAGGTACAGGGCAATATTATCTCAGTTCTCCAAACACCTGACCCTGGATTCTTGTGACATCAACAGAGTCTAGAAGTTTGTACAGAACCTGAGTCTGAGTGATACATGAAGAGCTGGCGCAGAACAAGGGGTCACACACATGGTCCATAAGACAAGGAAAGTAGCAACTACCAGTGGGGTTTGGAAACAGACTTTCTGCACATGCAATGACCCTATGTGCCTGGTTCTTAAATGGAACTAGTACCTCCGGGTACAGCGTCAACTTTCCACCATAACGAATGAGAGCTATCATGATGTCCAGAGCACCCTCCTCTGTAAGCATGGAAATGAAAGTATGGCGACAGTGGGGTCTAGGCTGCTAGCAACATTCCCTCTAAACAAAGCGGTGGGGAGGGCCACTACACAGTCCCCACCTCCTCCTACCCACCTACCCGTGTCTTCAAGAGGAGCTAGAGGAGAGTGGGAACTCCTTAGTGGTGCCTAGGCTTTTGTAAGTTTTCTCCATGCTGGGTGTGCTTTCGATGATCTAGTTGCCTTTTAGTGACCTCTGCTCCTGTAATTAATCCAGAAAACTCAGTAGTTACCAAGCTGGATGTGGTGACTTGAATAGGAATGACAACGCTCCAGCCCCAGCAAACAGCAGAACTTGGCAGCTTCAGCCACATAATTCTTTAGCGTCAAGGATAGAAGGAAGGGTTATGGAACCTTCCTCTGAGACTAAACCGCTGCTGAGGCCAGGCATGTGTTAGGATGTCCCTGAATGGAGGCCCAGAAAGGCCATTATATGAAGCTAAGGTGAAACCTGGATTGCATTGAGACACCAAGATGTTAGAAGTGCCAGAGTCGTGGAGCACCTGCCAAGGAAAGCTGCTGACCACAAGAGAAAGGTGTGTTGCAGTCCACAAAGCTGATAGGACTTGGAGCTCTGAAGAGTGCTTGACATCACAGACAGCAATGCCGAGTGTGGAGTCTGCCCAGCTGGTTTTCACTTTGCTTTGGTCCTGTATTTCCTCACTCTGTGCCCTTCCCTACGCTTTAACAGAATGCTAATGTATACTATGCCCTGTGCCATTGTATGTTGGAAGTATATGATCTGCTTTTTTATTTCAATTCTACAGGAAATTACAGTTAAGAGACAGCAGTAGGACTGAATGCATCTCCACATTATGTGATGGCTTCAAGCCTACGACAGCCAGGGAATGCAATGTGGCAGTTTGAATAGGAACCACCAAAGACTCGTGCGTTTGGATGCTTTGCCCATAGGGTCTTGCACTAATAGGAGGTGTGGCCTAGTTGGAGTAGGTGTGGCCTAGTTGGAGAGGGTGTGGCCTAGCTGGAGTAGGTGTGGCCTTGGAGTAGGTGCATCACTGTAGAGGACTTTATTTAAGGTCTTATGTGCCTAAGCTACTCCCAGTTTAGCACAGCCTCCTTCTGCCGCCTGTGGATCAAGACAGAGGACTCTCAGCTCCTTCTCCAGTGCCACCTCAGCCTGTGTGCTGCCATGTTTCCCGCCATGACAATGGGCTGAACCTCTATAGGACAGTCCCAACAAAATGTTTTCCTTGTAAGAGTTGTCATGGTCATGGTGTCTCTTCACAGCAACAGAAACCCTAACCACAACACGGGGCTTGAATGTGATTGTCTGTTGGAGCACCATCAAAAGTAGACAGACATTCTGTACATCTTCCCAGGAAAGGTCAAATGCACTGGTAAATTCTTAATATTCCTTACCTTGCTTTAATTAGGAGACTGCATGGTTTGAAAAGCTGGTGGAAGAAGATACTGGATTTTGGGTATTCAGGCTGAACACAAAAGAAATCACTGCTAAGTTTAGTCCCAAGCCTTGGCCTTTAGAAGCTGTGAAATCTGAACAAAGTCAAACCCAATGAAATGTGTGTGTGTGTGTGTGTGTGTGTGTATGCATGTTTATAATTATTTTTAGTTTATTTGACAGAGTTTCTCTGTGTAGCCTTGGCTATCCTGTAAACCAAAATGACCTAGAACTCACAGTGATCCGCCTGCCTCTGCTTCCCAGGAGATGGGATTAAAGGTGTGCACCACCACCCAGCTAATAAATTATATTTTATATAAATTTTTATTCCCAGAGTGGAGTGAGGTCACCTCCTTTAAAGGTTCTACAAGGCTGAAGAACTGACTGCAAGAGCATATTAATGGTCGGTGTTTTCCCACTCAGGTTTTCAAATGACCGCTGGTCTGCCAATGCCCCCAGATCTTCAAGCACCAATATTGCCCTCCCCAGAACATCCAGGTCTGCAAATGTCCCCAATCCTTCCAATGCAAGCAGGTTTCAAGTTTTCCTGTGATCCTCAGGCCCTGGATTCCCCAGCCTCTCCAGAGTCAGCAGCAGTCTCTTTGCCCTCCCAGGGAGCAGCACAGGGGTGCCCTGAGGGTAGCTAACAGGAAAGGACTGTGAGCTAGAGGACACCCAGAGGTTCCTAGGGTTGCAGAAAGAATCGATGTGCAGGAGCACCAGGCCCAGGTCTGGTTTGAGAATATCAGAAGAAATTTTCTCAGCAGCGTCTCCAGGAACGTCAGGAAGGACTCCTGGGTGCTCTGCCAGGGAGCCAGCACTGCAGGCTGTCCTCTGACCTTCCCCTGCATGCTACAGGGAGTTCATGAGCCCACAAGAGAAACACACATAAAGACATCCATCTGGCTGTCGAGCCGGCTAAGTACTCACCCCACAGGTCCCTGGGGCCCTCCAGGGTCACACTTCTCTCTGGGGTTCTCTGGGCATTGTGCCAAGTGCTCTGTTCCTCCTCAGTGAGGTCCACGGTCACAATCTTGAAATCTGTGCTTTCCTGGAACAGCACACACACTCCTGCTTAGGTAGGCATTGTTGTTTGTTTTCCAGAATTCATGGACAGAGACTTTAACCAAACAGGCAGTTATCCTTAGAATATCCGCACCCAAAGTGAGGTCAGAAGCATCTCAGAGAGAAACATCAAACAAGATGTATCCATCCCAGTATACAGACTGAACCCAGACCCTCACACAATAGGCAAACACTCTACCCTTAAGTCATGTTCCCAACCTTTAAAGATGCTATTTAAAGATTGCTGGAGAGGCGGCTCAGTGGTCAAGAGCACTTGTTGCTGTTGCAGAAGAACAGGGTTCAATTCCCTGCACCCCCATGGTGGCTCACAAACACCTATAACTCTAGTTCCAGAGAATCCAATCTCCACAGCTAATAAGGAAACATATAGTGTGCAGACATACAGACAAAAACACATACATAAAATAATATAAATACTTTTTAAATTTTATTATTATTATTTTATGTGACTGGATGCCATGCCTGCTAGTATTCATCTGTGTTGTATGTGTACAGTGCCTGCAGAGGCAAGGAAAGGCATCAGATGCCCTGGGATTGGTGTCGTGTGGGTGCTGGGAATTGAACCTGGGTTCTCTGGAAGAGCAGCCAGTGCTCATAATCATTGGGCCATGTCTCCAGCCCCGAGATTTTTATCTGTTGGTATCATCACGTGTACATGACAGAGATATGCCCAGCGCAGAGAACAATCTCAGGCCGACTCTTGCTTCCCATCCTGAGGCAGTTCTGTTTCTACCATGCTGCATACTCCAGGACAGGTGACTTGGCAGCTTCTTTGGCAAATATCCTGGCAGTTGATTGCTGGGGTTGGTGAGATGGATAGGAGGGGGGGAGGCACCTGCCATTAAGTCTCACAACTTTGGGGCCCACAGGGGGGGAGAGAAAAGACTCCCAGGAGTTGTCCCCTAACCTCCACAAACATGCTATGATCAGTTTTTGTGCATGTGTGTATACATATGTCAGCATGCGCACACAGCACACACACACAAGTTAAAATTCTTGGTGAGGCTCTTTATGCTGACCCAGAAACTCAAGCTGCACATGATGAACACATCTTGACTCTATGCAGTACAGCAGCTTTGAATGCTTTGGATAAGGTCCATGAACCGGGGGAGATAATAGAATCCTTTACCAAGGTGGGGCAGGATCCTAGAGAACACTTTAGCATATTTCTACAGATTGTCTAGAGCAGTACAATTAGAGGTAGCAGACCCAGATTCTAGGTGAACACTCTTAGAATCATTAGCTTATGAGAATTCGAATCCACAATGCAAACAAGTGCTTTGACCCTTAAAAATCAGATCAGCACCACTGGATGAATGGGTCTTGTATACAGCTAACATTGGGTATAACGACCATGACACTGAAGCTTGGGTAGAAGCCATATCCAAAGGTTTGAGAAGACATCAAGATAACAGATGTCTTAACTGTGGTGACACAGAAGCTTGGGTAGGAGAAGCGATCTCCAAAGGTTTAAAAAGATATCAAAATGCCAGATGTTTTAATTGTGGTAGAACAGGATAATCTAAGAAGAAATTGTAGGTAAAGCATTCCTAGGAATAACACTTCTAGGAATGAATCAAACAGAAGGCCTCAGCCTCAGCCTCAGCCTTCTGGGTTATGTGGCAGATGTGGCAAAGGCCGACACTGGACCAATGAATGTCAATCGACCAGAGACAAGCAAGGAAACCCTTTACAACTGGGAAACTCCTTGTGTTCAAAAGTGGTTCCTCCCAGTACTGCGGAGGACAATCTTCCTCAGGACAATTAGAAAATCCAGTGCCTATCGTAAAAAATCATACCACTCTAGAAGACAGATTAGCTATAGAAGGTGAATCAAACATAAATTTCGACAAGTTTCTATAATGATCAAAGGCCCAAACTAAGGGAACAAATAAATAACCAATTGATTGAGGGGATCCTCGACACTGACCCTGATGTGACCATTATAACTCAAAAATCTTGGCCTCTAAGATGGCCCTTGGAAGAAGTAAATGTCCAATTCTTAGGATTAAAACCCTATCTCAGGTAAAACAGAGCACAAGATGGGTTAAATGTGTAGGCCCAGAAGGATAGAGAGGAAGGTTGAGATCATATGTGGCTAATATAGGAATATATTTATGGGGCAGGGGAAATGATCTGTTGCAGCAATGGAATACACAGATTAACATTCCTCCAGTATTAGACGTGAACCATAAGCAAACTCATGGTTGCAGAAAAATATTGTAAAGTACTATACAAGACAGACACCAACTATCCAGGCTGTACAAAAACAGAATACAAGGGCCAAACTAACAGAGGAACCAAAAGCCCAAAATGGCTAAAAGATGAACCTGTCTGGGTAGGGCCTTGGCCTATGACCTCTGAAAAGGTAGAGGCTTTAGAAAAGTTGGTTCAGGAACAGCTAAATGCGGGATACATCGAAGAATCTATCAGCCCTTGGAATTCTCCTGTATTTGTTATAAAAAATTGTCAGGACCACATATGGAATCCATTCCATCTTGCCCCATGTTCAGAGCATTTCTATTGTCCTTAAGACATTGAGTTTATGGGCTATAGGATGCTTGGGCCTTGTTGGTGAATGGCTCTTACCTAAATAACAATAGGCTTGGGCCCAGACAGCTTTAAACTCATCCTGAAGGCAGAGTATGGGTGGTTAAGGAGTGCTTTCAGGATTAGGGGAAGTAATTGCTATTTTTCCTTTATACATAATAATAGGAGTCCTCTGCGACTGACCCCTCCTTTGGTTGATTATGTAAGTTTGGAGGTATGAAATAATTGGGACATTCAGTATAGACTGAACATGCTTTCCTGAGGACTATCCCATGTTTCTGTCTCTTAATTCTATTAGCTAGCCTTTCCCTCATCTACACTCCCTGATTCATGAACAGAGATGGGGTCGCTCGGCTGGTTCCGATTGCAGCCCTCCAAAGACAGCATCTAACAAAAAAGAAATCTAGAAAATGGAGAATGCTCACAGACTTGAAAGCTATCAATTAAGTAATCCAGTCTATGGGCTCTCTACAGCCTGGAATGCCCTTGCCTTCTCTGATACCTAAAGAATGGCCCATTATAGTTATTGATTTAAAAGACTGCTTCTTCTCTATACCTTTACAAGAAAAAGATAAAGAAAAATTAGCCTTCATGGTACCTAATTAAAATTCTCAGCCAGTCAAGAGATATCAATGGAAGGTTTTGCCATAGGGAACACTAAATAGCCCCACCCTGTGCCAATATTTTGTGCAAAAACCCTGTAAGCACACACCAAGGACTGGAGAAGGCTACAATCAGAGTTTGTGTGATAGCATAACAGCTGGCCCCAGGACATGCAAGGAAGGAAGACAGGAGAGGGACATTTTGTGGTCTGCTTTCTGCACTGATACCACTGGTCCATTTGTTGAAGTAGGTTAGTGGATTAGAACTGATATTTAATATCTGCCTTGATTATGCTCTCCTGCATTCCCTCGACAGGCTCGTTCACTGGACCCGAGGCTCACTGTTTTGGTTGGGCTGGCCAGCCAGGAGGTTGGGGGATCCACCTATCTATCTCTACCTTGTAGCCTTCACAGTGGCGCTGGAGATTTGAACTTGGGTCTTAAGGCTTGTCTTAGCCACTGGGCCATCTTGCGGGCCCCTAGCCTTCTCCACTTTCATCAAGTATCTGCAATCAAGCCCCTCCTCTTCCTGACACACCACTTCTTCCCTCTAAGTCCTGAGAGCCCAGTCTCCCCCCACTGTGTGGCACTGGGGATAGAACCCCGGGCCTTGTGCTAACAAATACCACACTGAGCTCCACGTCAGCCAGGCCTCAAATCTACCCTTTGAAATCTCAACTCCTCGACCTGCAGAATCCTCGTAGCTCTGCACTTTGCACCTTTCTCATGACAAAGTTTCTCGGATAAGCTGCTCACTCTTGTGTGTGTGGAAGGGCGCACATGTGTGAATGTGCCTGGGCTGACCCTTTCTCAACTGTTCTGCACCTTCTTTGTGTCTCTCACTGAACCTGGTGCTCACCCATTTGGCTAGACTGGCTGGCCAGCAACCCCTGGGCCCTTCTGCCTCCACCTCCCTATCCTCCCGAGGCCCAGTTTTTCAGAAATGTGGGATGGCCCTTGGGCCTTCAAAAATGTTCAAGGAAGACCTCACTCACTTCTCACCAGCCCGTCCAATCTTGTTTTCATCCCCCCTCTCTAATCTTGTCCCAGCTCCCTTCAATTTGCTTTTACCACTCACACCTCTCCAGGTAACGGAATGGGCCTTGCCCAACTCACCTGGGGCATGGTGTCCAGTGGCCCAGCATCTTCTCCCTCCACTTCGATGATCATCTCTTGGGGTAGAACAAAGTTCTGAGAAACCAAGCAGATGAGACAAAGGGAACCCATCAGAGAACAAAGCAGAGACCGGAACCCCCATGATGGGTCAACAGGATCTGACCCGAATCCAACTGCCAAACTCTGCTCCTCCACATAAGCAGCAGAGAAAAGGGACCTCCAAGGAATGAGGCCCCACTCGGCACAAGACTGTTGTGAGCGCTTCAGGATGGCCCTGCTTGTCAGCTGAAGGTGGCTATGGATCCCAGGAATCATACGGAGCAAAGCAACTCACTGTCCTGTCCCCCGGGCCCTGCCTAATCTCCTATATCACGCAGAAGTAAGGAGCAACGCAGACTCTAACATGACCCAAGCCAGAAGCAATTCAGGAACAAGTCCCCAGACCGCAGAGTGTCTTTTGCTTCTGCTGCGCCTTACATGCTTGTGCTGTCATCTTCCTCTGTATCTGGCATGGTGTGAATGGGTGTGGGACATCCCCACTGCCAGTAATGTAGTTTTCGAGACAGCATTTCTCTGTGTAGCTTTGGAGCCTGTCCTGGAACTCGCTCTGTAGACCAGAGAAACCCTGTCTCGGAAAAAAAAAAAATCTTCGGCAAGTCATCTCTAAGCCTTGATGTTTTCATTTCTTACTCTCCTCCTACAGAATATTATTAAACTTTATATTATTAATATACATGATTCCCTGGTTTGAATTATATGTCTAAGTGATGAAAGATGATGGTACCAAATAGTCCTGAAAACATAAATACAAGTAACAGCATTGTATTGAGAGGTTATATTTAGAAATATATGTATGTACATATACACATGTAACAACAATTAATGAAAAAAGAGGTCTGCAAGAGAGTAAGGAAGGGTATGTGGAAGGGTTTGAGGACAGCGAGGGAAGGGGAAATGATATATTATTATAATCTCAAAATTAAAATAAATTTTTAAAAAAGGGAAGCATATTCTCCTTTCCCCTTCATATCATCTGTGTTCTATACCCCACCTTCCTTAAAGAGAAATGAAGACAGGGACGTTTAAGTGAAGATGAATGGGAGGTTAGGAGAGAAAAATGGAAGAGGGAATAATTAACACAAAAATACATGAAAAAAAGCTATTTTAGACCTGATTTTTATAAGCTTCCTAAATATGCATGCACTTATATATATAAATTCATACACATACATAAATACATGTGTCTATGTATGTAAATGAATTTGATCAGCATTACCCCATACAAGTACACAAGGACTAATGCTCATTCTGAAAAACGTAGGTTCCCAAATAAGAAACCTCCCTCCAGCTATTAGAAAAGGGGGTGGGGGGATTGGTTTGATTTTGTATCTGCTTTTCAAAACAAGGTTTCTCTGTGTAACAGCCCTCCCTGGCTGTCCTGGAACTTGCTTTGTAGACCAGGTTGGCCTTGAATTCACATAGATATGCCTGCCTCTGCCTCCCAAGATATGCCCACAGGTATAATAACGACATGAATATGATGAGGTTAATCAACTGCTTTTCTACTGGAGACAGGACCCACTTTCAAGGAGGAAATGCAACCCTCGTACTGTAAACGTGACTAAAAGGCTGTGGTTTAGAGCCAGCATGCCCTAGAGGTGGGCCTATTACTCTAACTTCTAACTGCTGAATGAGCATCATAACAAACTGCCCTCTCAAAATCTCTATGCCACTGATTAGTGCAGCTCTCCGACCTCAACAAAGGTTTTGTTTTGTGCAGTGTTGAGGGTTGACACAGAAACTCACAACTGATCAACCTGCAGAGAATAAGTCTGTGCAAGGCTCGCGTTCCACCCCAGGCTCAGGGACGGCTGATGAAGAGGAGTGAAAAGACAGTTAGAGCCACAGGTCAACGAGACCAGAACGAAACACTGTCTTCTGAACAAGACAATCGCTGCACTCACAATCACAGCAGTTGTGCTATCTGCATAAGGCCTGCACGTCAAGCCAGCCAACACTGCAGCATGGTGGGTGGAGATGGCGCATGAGCCACTTCTCCTACCTGAGAAACTATTGCTAGTAAGTGTCTTCTACGAGAGGGAAATGTAGTTTTCTTTAAAGGTGTAGCTTTTGGTAGGCTCACCGCATTCCTGTGGATGGCTCCACACTCAAAGAGTATGGTAAGCACAAATTGGGCTGGGTGGATTATTTAAAAATTAAAGAGGACACAAAGCTGGGAAGGAATGGGGATGTGGCGGTGAATCTAGGAGTTAAGGGGAGCACTGGGAGGTGAATATGATCAAAATGGTATTGTGCATGTGTATAAAAGTCTCAACAGAAACATACAAACATAGAAGCAGATTGGGTTTCAACATATTTATAGGAAACAGAGACTCAAGAGGGCAAGGAACTGGAGGTGATGTAGGCATGGAAGAAGCTAGACAGGTTAGAGAATCGAGGCGATGAATTCATCACTAAGAACCTTTCATACGTAAGATTTTAAAACCTATTAACTGTACAATTTTTTCCTTGCCATAACATAAACACTTAAAATCGTCACTAAATTGTCTTCTCCTAAACTGACTGGTTGAAACCTATAGAGATCTTAGTGATTAACCGGAATATAGTCTGATTCAAAAGTTCTACTTATCATGGTAACACGTTGTGCTAGTCTGGATGTAATTGGCCCCATAAGCCCAAAGGGAATGGCACTATTAGGATTTGAGGTCATATATATACATATACATATATACATATACATACATATATATACGCACAAGCCACACCAAATCAGACAGTCCACTTCCTGTTGCCTTCGATCAAGATGTAGCTAGCCACCATGTGTACCTTCACACCACCATGCTCCCTCCCATGATGACAATGGAATGAACCTCTGAACTGTAAGCCCTACCTCAATTAAATGCTTTTCTTATACGAGTTGCCATGGTCATGGTGTCACTTCACAGCAACAGAGACCCTAACTTAGATACATATTAATAGGCAGAAATGAACAGAGGCCGCGGGGGGAAAGGGTGGCTGCACTCACCTCCACACAGGCCTGCGGGGACTCCAGAGACTCATCATCTTGCTGCTCCATGTCTCCTCCAGATGCAGCCAGGTGCCAGCTCTACAAACAAAAGAAGCTCTGAGCACAGCCTGCATGGCCACCCTCCAGCCCAGTCTGCCCCCTAGGTCATCTTCTACAAGTTAAAGCCACAATGGGCATTAATGAAGAATCCCTCAGTTCTTCCTCCAGGCTAAATCTTCCAAGATCCCATTGGTTCCTCCATTCTCCTGACCCGGTAAGCTCACCTCATACTCAAACACGGCCTTCTGCCCACTACCAATATGTGCGGCTTCAAATGGAATCTTCACTGAATCCTGGGAGCCCCACAAACACCTCCCACACAAAGAACTCCTTATATTGTGTACATGATGCCCTGAGCATGCAACCACAAACAGGCGGCTCTTCCCAGGGCTAGGAACCAAAGCCACCAGCCACATGGACAGAGCTCAGGAGACAGCCCAGCCTTCCCAAGGCGAGGGACCATAGCCACTGATCACATGTGTGCAGCTCATGTCTTCCCAGGAGCTGATGTCACCATGGCCCTTTCATCAACCAGGCCAGATCTTCCAGCAAACATCCCACAGTCTCCGCCGCCTTCCTATGCAAACAGGAACCCAGTCCCTTCCTCCACCATCTAACCTGAACCTGGCTCAGATTCTTACCCAAACCCTTAGGCCTTCAATTTGCAGCTTGAAGCTGATTCCTCCATTGATGTGGAGGGCTCTGGGGCCTGTGGCAGGCACAGCACATACCAGCCTCTTGCCAGGCCCAGAACCTGTACCTCTGTAGCCATCAGATTGTGCCAGTCTGATGTCACAGACTCTGAAACCAGGGCAGCGCCTGGCCAATCCCAGCTAGGCACCCAACCCCCCGCACCCCCTTGCTGGCTTATGTGGTGCCGAGGATGGCTCCCAGGGTTTTGTGCATGCTGGCAGTCTACCCACTAAACCACATCTCCACTCCCCATCTGTCTCTCTCACTCCAGCACTAGTGTATAGCCCACCTACTGCCCTCCACCCACTTCTGCAGGGCCTCAACCTGCCCAAATTCCTGCTATAACACTGTCCTCAGCGCCTGAATCCCTGTCTTTCCCCAGACTTGGGCACCAACTGGTTGTGATTACAACAAAATCCACAAAGACCCAGGCACTGTGTATCTACAATCCACAAAGACCCAGGCACTGTGATTCTACAATCCACAAAGACCCAGGCACTGTGTATCTACAATCCACAAAGACCCAGGCACTTTGTTTCTACAATCCACAAAAACCCAGGCACTGTGATTCTACAATCCACTTCTAGCAGGGCATGGTGACATACCTTCCACCCCAGCAGATTCTCACCCAGGATCTGAATTCAGACCCTGAGCTCTATGCCAATCTGGGGTTCTATTCTGCTTTTATTTGATTTTGAGTCCTTGGGATTTTGAGACAGGGTGTCGTGTAGTCTAGGCTGGCCTCACCATCCTTCTGACTCTACCTCCCCAGTGCTGAGTTTATAGGCATGTGCCACCAGACCTGGTTTATGAAGTGCTAGAGATGGAACCCACGGCTTTGTCCATGCTATAACCAAGCACCTAACCACCTGAGTTACATCCCCAGATCGGGTCCCCTTATGCCTGGAGGTCACAGCTGCCACAAAGGCCGTGCAGGCACCAGTTCTGCATGCCTGTAGTATGCAGTATGACTGATATCTGAGCACAGAGTGCCCAAGCCACTCTTAGCACCCCAGCACTTGGCTCCCTAGGTTTGCAAACCTGTGCTGGAGCCTTCCCATCTTCCACCCACCCCCCTACAAACCCAGGCATTCTATTGCCTGAAGGCAGAATCACCCAAAGCAAAGGTTCCAGCAATACCAACTCTGTAAAGATGCTTCCAGCATCCATCTCCTCCCACAGTAGTCAGAAGGCAGCTGGTGTGAAAAGTCCTTCGAGATACAGAGTGCTTAAGCCCAAGCTCTCCGGAGTGTCTACCCAACCTGAACACTTAAGACCCTGCATTATTCTACATGGGTGCCAAGATTCAGGTCAAGATCCTCTAACTCTGGTATGAACAAGGGTGCATTCTGCCTAGAACCGTCTGCTAAGCCCTGGGACCCTCAATCCAGTACTTGGCTGTCTAAAGGATTGATTGACTCAAGCAACATTGCCTTATCTTATGGTAAGAAGCAGGAACTACAGCCTGCTCTGTGTACCCATTTTCTCCAAATCGAAATGATCCCTTGTAGAGGGAGGTGGAAGGCTAAGACTCAGTAAGTAAACAAAACTTAAAAATCCCAGAAGCTGAAACTTTTGAGTCTCTCTCTCTCTCTCTCTCCATTTCTCAAGGTTATAGAAGCAATAACTGGGGAAGAGATACTCAGCCCAGGTGAGCCGCCTTTGAGTCTTGCAGGCAGCGATGCAGCTTTCCTGAGTCATCACCCATGGGCTTTTCAGTGAGGTAGCTGAGTCATCCATACTCCTGTAAGTAACCCCTCACCCGTGCTTCCGTAAGGACCAGCAATAAACCTACTGGCTAACCAGGCTAAACTGGGGTGTGGCCATTTCTTGGGTTGGTTGTCATGCCTGATCTGGGAACAGAAGACACGTATCTCCAACAAGCAGGACACCCTCGGTTTGCAAGACCAGTCTCTACCCGGGGTCCTAGAACCACCTTCCAAAGTGTTCGTTGGTGCTTCCGACACAAACACTTCCCCAAGAATACACCAACAGTGACAAAGCCCTTCTCTCTAGGAAAAAGAACCTGGGCATCCATCGGAAGGCTCTCCGCTAAACAGGCATGCGAGGAGGCGGCTTCTCGGTACTTTGGGACGCAGATGAAATTGCTCAGGTCGCAGGCACCTCTGCACCAGGGTCTCTCTCTATTGTCAAAGCTGACCCTGCATTCACACCTAAGGCCACCAAACTGTTCCGAGGAGCTATAGGGGACACACCCCATCATGGACTCAGTAGACTAAATGGGTGCATACTCCCCACACCAAGGTCACAAACACCCCCTCCAGGTAATACAAGACACTGTTCCCCCGTGACAGGCAGGACCCACGAGGCAGCCTGACTCCACACGGGGACAACTCAACTCCCTCCTTCCCCCGAAACTGGTAAGGGACCCTCCTGTGCCACGCAGACCTGAACTCTCCATACCTCAGAGGCCCCACCCTGTCTTTCCGGGTCGAGAGCACCTCTTCTTCCAAGTATCTCCCCCGGAGCCATCTACGCCTGTGGCCTGTCTTCCATCCTTCTGGACATCTTCGGTCCGTCCCAAACAAGCGCCACCACGCGCCCGACCCTCCGCGCATGCGCGCACTGCAGTCACAGCTGCCCCGTCCCCCCCCACCCCGACGTCCGCGACCCACGGAGGCCGGGACTGAGACGCAGGACCACCCCACCACTCACGGACACAGCCGCGTCCAGCTTCCCGCCCAGACCTTGCGCATGCGCAGGCCGAGCCCCATGAGCCGTGCCCTCAGCTCCTACCAACCTGGGTGTCCGCGAGCCCGCAGCGTGTGGGCCGCCCGGGGCGGGCCTGAGCCGCGCACGACTCCGCGTCGGGGCAGAGTGGGGTTCACAGCGTCCTGGCCCTATCCCGACGCATATCCGACATAGCTTAAGTGGCTTTAGTTTGGCATCCACGGGGTCGCTCCGTTCTGGCGGGGCCCCGCCACGAAGCCGGGCCACAGCCGGCGCCCACACACGCACACAAATGGCTGCACTGCCGGCTAAACCCGGAAGTGGGTGGTATCGACTTAGAACTACAATTCCCACAAGCCTCAGCGCAGCGCGCAGCCTCTAGAAGAGGCTCGGCACCAGGAGGCGGGCCCTCGAGCGCGACGGACTGGAGTGCGGCTGCGCCGTGCGTCCGAGCGTTTGAGAAGCGCTACCGGCAGTTCCGGGCGAGGCAGGGACGCGTGGAGGTCGGCCAAAGTCCTCCTCTAAACCAGGACAGAACTCCTCTAAACCAGGACAGAAGCTGGCTTGGGCACTGCCAAGTGTGGGAGACTGGCGATGTGCTCATTTTACAGTTCAAAGAGTACTAAGTGAGCGGTTGGGGTAGCTTACTGGATAAAGGCGCCTGTTGCCAAGGGTGATGGCTCGAGTTGGAATCCTGAACCCATCCGATGCCATTTAAAGAATTGATTTCCACAAGTTGCCCTCTGACCAACACACCAGCACCCGCGCAAATGCATGCACGCACGCACACACACACACACACACACACACACAAATAAATAAGCAAATTTAATTTTTTTTCCTAATAAAAAACTCTGGCTGACCTGAAATTCATAGAGAATCACTTCCTTCTGCTTCTCAAATGCTGGGATTAAAGACATTCACCACCACACCCATCTTATAGATGTGATCTTTTTAAAAATCAGTTATTTTTGTATTTGGCAATTGTCAGTGTTAGGTTTTAAAGTAACCTGGGACGAAAGGCTGTGGTGCTGGGACTGACCTGGGGTCCTCTGAAAGAGCACTGTGCATCTTAAGCGCTGAGCTGTCTCTCCGGCTCCTTCATCACTTGCTCTGTGTGTGCTACTGGAGATTGAACCCAGACTCGTGTGCCTGCCAGGCAAGCGCTTGGCCACTGATTTGCCCCCTCACCTCCATCTCCATCTGTGCTTTCGTTTTTAAAGACTACTTTAGAAGTGAGGGTGGTGGCACATGCCTTTGATCCCAGCAGAGGCGTGAGGATTTTCTATGACTTCAGGGCTATTCTGGTTTCAGGCCAGCCAGGGCTACATAGTGAGACACTGCCTAAAAAATTAATTAATTAATTAATTTGAAAAGGATATATTTTACTTTTTTTTTTTTTAATCTATATGCATTCAGGTGACTGCAGTAGCCAGAAAGGGTATTGGATCCCTTGAAGCTGGAGTTAGAGTAGGCCGTAACTCTCCCCACATGGGTGCTGGGAACTGAACCCAGCTCCTCTGAAAGAGCTGCAAGTACTCTTAACCACTGAGCTATCTCTCCAGCCCAGCTCTGTTGCTTTAAATGAAATGTGAACCGGTTGTCCAGAGCCTGACCCACTCAGAACATCGTGAGGTCCACAAAGAGGGCAGGCAATGGCTGGATTCTGATGTGCACACCCAAGGCCATGGAGTGTGTGACCCAGCATGGCCTGTGTAAACTTTCTAGGGAAAGGAGCCTGGCATCCATTAGGCTGACCGGCTAATCTTGCAGTAAAGGCTGTGGGCTGGGTTCACCAGTTTCTGTTAAACCAAGGGAGATTGGTTTATCTGTTAAATGTACACTCCGGTCTACTCGATTTATAGACAGTCTATGGCCCAAACAGCCTGGTGCTGCTCCACACCCTTGGAAATTCCTCCTTTTCATTGCCCTATAGCCATAACAGTGCCTCCAAGAATGGGCCATGGACCTGCCCGCTGTGGTAGACGGGCTCTACGGCAGCCCCACAGTACCCTGCCTCTTGCATTGTTGCCCTCATACAGTCCCCAGCCCTGATGAAGAAACCCTGATTTTGCATCGAGAAAAATAGGACAAAGACCGGGATGTGGGTGATTACCTGGCTATTGCAATTTGTCCCATGAGATCACGACTTCTACTTGACTTTGAAAGAAACATGAATCGGTGTTGTGAGCTGCCCACGGAGAGAGACACATAGGAAAACGTTGAGGGTCACTTGACAATCAGTAAGAAAGCAGGGACGCACTAGTTTGAAAACTGACCCTCCCCAAGTGGACTTGAAATCTCAGTGGTCCAGCGCCTCCCTTCCAACCTTGCGGGAAGATGATGTGGATGATGCTGGCTGACTGACCATCTGGGAAGTGATGAATATGTGTTATCTTCAGCCTAGGAAGCCCTTCCCCAGAACAAGAAGGACCGTGATGAATGGGAGGAAGCCTGCAAGGGGAGGTACCCAGAAAGAGTTTTTTTCTCTACAGATAAAGGGAATTCCCATGGCTCCCCTCCTTAGCCCCTGATGGAGGGTGATTTGAGTTCCATTTGTGGCCATATGTGGTGGTGCACACCTTCGATCCCAGCACTCAGAAGATAGAGACAGGCAGATCTCTTTGAGCTTGAAGCCAGCCTGGTCTACAGAGCAAGTTCTAGGACAGCCAGGCTACACAGAGAAAACCTGTTTCAAAAAGGAAGGAAGGAAGGAAGGAAGGAAGGAAGGAAGGAAGGAAGGAAGGAAGTCCATGGCTGACTGGAGGGCTCACTAAACTGAATATAAGACACATGATAGAGACCTGGAATTTAGACGTATTGAAGTTGCTTGAGCATAGTGATGCCAGTCTGCGATCCCCGTGCTAGGGAGGGCAAGGTGGAAGAACTGTCAAATGATGGGGTTGTCCTTCTGTGTGTGTGTTTCTCTTATTGATTGATGAATAAAATACTATGGCCAATAGAGGCAGGGAGATAGGTGGGACTAGGAGATGAGGAGAATTCTGGGAAGTGTAGGCAGAGGACAGATGCCATGTGAGACAGGGAAGGTAGGATGTGCCGAACCCTTCTCTGGTAAGACAAGTCCACGTAGAAATACTTAGACTTATAGAAATGGGTAAATAATTAAGACAGAGCTAGTCAATAAGAAATCCTAGTCCCCGGCCAACGGTTTAATAACTAAAGTAGCATCTGTGTCAGGTCAGCTTATGAACAACCACTGCCATCTTCCTTGACATGATCACCGTGGAGAGAAGCTTCCAGACTAGGCTTGACATAGGGAATGGAGGCAGAGAACATGTGCCTGGAGACATGGACTCTCTATTGGCAGAGTCAAGGACAGAGACGTGACCACAGGAATGGGTTGGCCCAGAAACATCTTTAGGGCAGAAAATTAACTCTGGAGGCCCTTCTTGAATTTTCTGTGGATTCTTCCGTGTTTACTTAGCAAGTCAGCTCTTGAGCCTGATCTGGAAACACAAAGAAGGCGTCAAAAGACCTGTGTGCCCAGGTGAGCAGGCTGAATGGAAATCATGGCTCTTGCAACAACCCACGTCAACAAAAAGGTCTGGGGCTCTAAAAGGAGGAAGGAAGGTAGGATTGTCCGTGATGTGACACAAAAGGACTAGGCGTGTCCTGAGACCCTGCCAGGGTGGTAATATAGCTCCACATAGCTGCAGAGATTGAAGAAGAATAACCAGGTCCGGCCATGGATATGAATAGGTCCTCCTTCCACGGCTATCCCAAACTTGACCACGCATACAGGAATCACAGAGAGGGCGGGAGTCTGATTAGTGTTCTGGCAGTGGGAGAGAGGGACAAGAGAGAGAGAGACCTGGGGACCATCCTCAGTCACACCAATCGTTACTACCACCCACATGAGTTGCTCCAAGCTTCTGTACATGAACTGCACAAAATGTTCTTTGAAGAGGCGTCTTTGTTCCTAGGAGTACATGGTGTGTTCATCCCTTGCTTCCTTGGATCCTCAAGGTGAACTTGCTAATCAGCACATTTTTCTGAAGGAAACAAGGTGTCAAGGGAACCCTCACACCAGAACTGCAGAGGAACTTGAGGGCATCAGGTGCACAGATCACATTCCTGTTCTTGGGGGACCTGGATGCATGGGAGACTTGCTTTCATTGATGATCCTGGGAACCCTTGAGTACCTAGTGCCTTCCTGTACGGGAGAACGTAGGAGGCAGGAAACAGAGTAGCTCCATAATCCCCAGGTTTTATTATTTCCACATTTATTCCCTACTTCTTATGTAGCATGGATGACTGTGGACCTAGCCTTTCTATCACCCTTTCATGCAGTTTCCCAAGATGCTAAGGGTTCTAAACAGTGAACTAAACATACAAACAGCTACTGTGTTAATACAAAAGTGTCAGTCCAGGACAGCTGCCAATGGAGAGGAGGCTTGCCCAGAGTTTACAAATCCCAGGGCGAAGGGAACCTGGGCAGGCAATCCCAGTTGCCCCTGCTAACCCTCCTCACCACTAACACAGAAGCCTTTGTGGTGGGTTCACCTTGGACGTCAGCATGCATTCCCACCATCACCAGAGCCTTCCTGGTGATGGAACCTGACCTTCAAAGATCCTCCCACACTGCTGCCCCCGCCTTATGGTTCCAGATGAGTGCATCTTGCTTCACTGGGCAGATACACTAACCGCTAGTTTCCTAGGGAGGTGGCGAACGAAGCGGGTCCTGGCGGAATCGTTGGATCCCTGCCCTCTTGGGTCCCCATCGCAGAGATACACTGACGCGCCAGCGCGCACGTGCTGCTGTCCCTTTCATCCCCTGTGACTCCGCTCCGTTCGTTACCCGAGGGTCCTCCACGCTCCTCACCGTCCACACTCCTCACCGTCCACGCTCCTCACCGTCCACGCTCCTCACCGTCCACGCTCCTCACCGTCCACGCTCCTCACCGTCCACGCTCCTCGCCGTTGCTGTCATCCAGTCTTTCCACCTGGATTACTTCCTGCTTTCCTCCTTCCTTTCTTCTTTCCCTCCCTCCCTCCCTCCTTCTGTAACGAGTACGGTTTTTCCGCCTGCCACCGCTGGTCTTGTCCCACCGCCACGCCGCCAGCCCCAAATAATACACAGAGACTCTGTATTTGATACAATACTGTTGGCCCGGTTACTTGTTTTTTATCGGCTAGCTCTGCCTTTAATTATTAACCCATTTCTGCTGATCTATGTATTTTTCTTACTAGGGAGCCAGCGGCATACTGCTTTCTTCAGACTCTCCATCTTGACTCCTCCTTCCTACTTCCTATTTCCTC